AGTAGATATCCCTAATCTACTTCTTAACGGCTGCCGAGGGTTTTCCTTAACAGCCGAGACACCAGAAGCTGCACTGAGACTTTGCGGAGGAGAATCACTTTGATTTGACACAAAATGACTCTTCGAATCGATGGGGAAAAGTCTGCGATGGGAAGGTCTTATGATATTGCAAGTTAAATATTTACCTGGTATTCAAGTAGTATCTTTAATAAATTGTCGGGCTATTTGGATTTAAATGGAAAGACACAATTGTTGTAAATAGGTGATTGCGAAAGCGATCTGCCTGGAGACAACAAGTAATCTGCGTCTAACTAACATGGATCACTCATTTTATTGAGCGCGTCCCTCTCCTTTTAGATGCTTACAAAAATGAGGACATTAGGTACCTCACTTGATTTTCGTTCATGAAGAAGCAGCTTACAATATATTTTTTGTAACAGTATACTCACTATGATGCTCCTCTCATATCGCCGGAAGCAGAAGAAATACACTGAAGGAAAAAAGACGGAGAGAGAGGAGAAGAAAAAAAAAAAAGAATGAAAAAAGAATGAAAAAAATTGCTTGTGCAGGACCTACACATCCCCCGAAACCCACATATCCCCGGAACCCACGGTCTATCAGTGAACGATGCCCGAACCATATTGGTACGTATACCGATTCCTCAAGACTGAGAGTGTCCACCGATGACCAGCAGCCTTCAAATTGAAGGTAGCGCACCAGCGGGGCTCGAACCCCAAGCTCTGTAGGCCCTGCGAAGCGTGCGGTGTCTACCACTTGACCAAATTGCCCCGAGAGGAGCGTTACTGACATAAAAGTTAATTGACCTTTTAACCTGCATTGCCCAGTGCGCGCCTGCCAAGATGGGTAAGAACGCGCCATAGCTCTTGCTGCATTGGGCGGATTCTGACCACTTCCAAACATGTTGCTATTGTACATAGAGATATTAGGGACCATATGAAAAATACATGCATCTAGTCTCGGTTTTCTAGGATTTAAGCTTAACACTAATCTAGGCCGCGAAGGTGCCACGTTGGACGGACGTCATTTTATTAGCGCCTTCATGCTGCGACTCTAATCTACCCACGGATGAGAGAGATATTGGTCCTGTCTATGGGACTCTATACCTTGAGATTAAACATAGGTCCCCGAGATACATGTATTAAATGGGCAGAATAGGATATGCACGGTCATTTGAATCCGGGATCACAGAAGAATTAATGGGACAAGTATTGTCTGAAAGTATGGGTTTGAGACGCAAAGGCAGGGATGTATTGATCGTTGACAACTAAAAACAGAACTGAAGTCAGACTCGTGGCCTCTCAAGGGCCGTCCATGATGAAAATTAAACACCCTTCCCCCCTCCCCCCTCCCCTACCCCCCCAAAGCAACTTAGTTATCGTCGTCAATATTCATTGCCTCCACTCCCCGTCGGAGGTCATCCTCCGCTATGTCTTCGTTCAGGGCGGCGGCGACATCAGTCATGTCTATGTCCCCATCCTTACCTCCTTCATCCTCATTCTTATCCTCTTCATCGTCGTCGTCCTCCAATCCACCGACCAACTTAAAGACCTCGTAGTCCGCGGAGCTGTAGAAGCTTCCCATCGCCTCGAGGAGCGCATCTATTTGGCGGGCGGCCTTGCTGTGCTCGTTGATGTCGAAGGGCGGTCGGGGTGAAGCATGCCAGCGCTTCCGAGCTTCGACAACGGCCCAGAAGAAGCAGAAGAACGTATTTTCTCCGACACGATAAGCCCACGGGGTGTTGGTATGGAGAGAGGTCAGGTATGCATAAATATCTCTACTCTCGAATTGAGCGAGGTCAAGAATGTGGGGTTGAAGAGCGACAGTGAAAGTGTCTGCAAGGGCCTGGTCGACGTTCGCCTTGGATTCCTTGTCGGAGGCGCCCTTGGCTATCTTGACGAAGCCAGCCTTACAGAAGGCTGTGAGTATCTTGTGATCTCGCTTTTCTCGTCCTAGAATGTCATAGCCGTCCTCGTACACCAGTCCTGCACGAGGAAGGAAATCTTTGAGGGACGTCATTGTGAGGTGCGGGTGTAGGAGATAGATTTTGTCGATGTGGATAGATGAGAGATGAATGAGATGATGTTTGGATTGTAGGAGGACTCACAAAAAGTTGAGATTTTTGCTCAGATCTTGAATTGAAATAAATCTGATGATTTGTGGGCGGTTTGACTTAGACCAGAGTGGAAGCCTGGATGAAAATAGCTTGATACCTTAGGTAGTCGTACCATGCAGAGAAGGTACCCAGGTGCGGCCAATGAATTTTGATGGCGCGGCATATGTACCTAGGTACGTAAGTGTTTGGCACTGTAGAGGGGAGCCGCTTGCCATGGACGGCAACTTTAAGAGACGGTTGTATGGTAACCGGCAACCAAGTTGCCGGAGAGTCATTGAAGCATTAAAAGGGGTAGTGCGGGAGGGTATCACGGATAGTAGACAAAACGGGGTTAGGAGGAAGAAGGATGATAAGGTGTCTACACTTAACGTTAAGGAAGCAATATTTCGGTTCCTCTGAGGTGCATTATCAGGAATTGCCAATCTTGGATGCCTTCACGATAGTTAGAACGGCTAGGATAGCCGAGTAACCCGTCGCTTCATGGTGACTAATCACTAACCCCCTAGCCCGCATCACCCCATGATCTCAGGCGATATCCCACATATACGTCGCGTTAGGTGAATGAGAACCATGCTAGCGCTTCATTGAGCACATTCGATGCCCTATCAAGATTATTCTGATTTGCCGCGCTAGATGACTCCATACCGACCTAATTAAACTGGCTCAATTCACCCCGCCCCCTCTACATTCGACTCGATCCCCAACTTCTACAATCGATTCTCCGAACTACCATCATCATAGTCACTGACACTACCTTCAAGCCACTATCACAACTACTCTCTCCTACTTACCCGCCTTTCGTAAGCAAAATGATCATTCTTAAAGACCTCCTTCCTCGCGCGGGGATGATCTATCCATCCCAGAAAGACATCCTCTCACGAGAACGACGAGACAAGAAGGTCGTTATCGCACTCAAGAAAGCCGGCATCATCGACACCGGCCGCGGCGTCCCCATCAAGACCAACAAAAAGGCAGTCGATCAGGCACTGGCCGATCTCTTCTCTCTTGTCGCTTTCCCCTACGCCATGTTCCAGCTCTCCGGTGAAGACTTGAACTTCCCCAAAATGACGCAGAGTACCGCTTCCTGGGTAAAAGTCCTCCCTCAGCCCACCTTCACCGAGCTGATCCAGCGCCTCATCGATGCGCGTAAGGCTTGGTACAAAGAACCCCGAGAGCCATTCGAGACCAGCCAGCACTGCGCTACGGCGCTCAAGATCGATCTTCTTCTCGACTCCGTGGAGGGCCAATTGAACTCCGCTGTGTCCGGGCTATTCGACATCATAGGGGACTATGACGTCAAGGAGGAGGACGACGAAGAGGAAGATGGCAATGACGACGGCGACGACGAGGAGATGGACGAAGATGACGGCGAGGAAGAGGAAGATGTGGGCGGTGCCGGCCAATCAAACAATGGCGGCATGGATGTCACCATGACCGACCTCACTGAGGAGGAAGAGTTGAGAGAAGGCGTTGAGGCCATGCACATAGACGATGATAACTAGAGGACTCTTAAAGCTCCTGGAGGCGTGATGAAGATAATCTGGTATTGAGATTAATAAACTTTGCCTTTGCCTTTGCCTTCTAAGCCATACATGACTTGAGATTGAGTACTCGTGAAATTTCTGATTGTCTTATGATGTCACAATCGAATATTGCGATGGTGTTACTGACAGAACCTTTGCACGGGCAGTCTTAATCCTGTCTGCTAGGGATCGCGGTATACATGCAGACACCGCTCCACCCTTTGTGCTGTTTCAAGCTGTAACTTCCCGACAGGTCTAGATCTTCAACGAGACCAGCTTCCGCTGACCAAAGCGCTGGCATTAAACACTTAAAGTAGAATAGCTCAACTGAAAGAAAGGACAGAGAAGCAATATTCACTCATTATTTAATCATCATTAATGAGATGAGTAGTCCCTTAGGCCAAGATGCAGCCTCCTTAGAGCCATGTATATCAAGAGATGGAGAAATCCCGAGCTCATTTCTCGGGGTTCTGGGTGCCTTCAGAGGCCACATCGTTAATTCTCCGGCGAATCCAACCTCGCGTACGTATTCCAGTGTCGTGACGAGATTGATCTTATGTATGTCGGTATTGGCACAAAAGTCGGTCCTAGACGAAGACAGGCCAGCCTGACTCACACCTCTCGTCTTTTTCTTCATTGTAGTTTTCGTTGAGACGCCCAGAAATCCTGGTAGGTCTCTAATCTTCAGCGATGTAAGCCAGCAGCTCTAAGTAAGAGGCCTGGAAATTAAGAAAAAGAAGACCTTCAATAAGTATCATATATTGCGCGGCTCTGATGGTCGCCAGGGTTTCTCTTTGTTTATAAAGGGTCATCTATGCTGTCTTAAAGGCCCTTAAGACGTCGTAGTCCGTGAGATGGTGGTCGACCATATGATTGGCGACAGGATAGATCCTACCCTCGATCGGAAGGAAAAGTTTCATGGTATTGTATTGCGATATGTTGGTAAGGAGAGTGGCTGATTGATTAAAAGTTGTGAGTTCAAGGGATTGTTGGTCAATGGGGTATACGAGGTGTCGTGTGGTGTGGATGAGTGTGGAAAATGAATGTCGTCCACTTGGCGTGAGAATGGTAGGGAAGCGCGGATCCGTTGCAATTAGGGGTTGATATGGACCATCTCCAGGTGTAGAGGTGCAGTACGTACCACTGAGAATGTTGGCCTTACAGCACGGTGGGAATTTCTCGTAGTGCGGGCTGAGGAAGAAGGCGGCTACCTGGAAATATACCGGTTGCTAGGTACCCAGCACCTTCCTGTCTGCGTGGCGACTTGCCCGTTTTGGCAGTAACGTTCTGTACACTGGGGTTATAAGGCCAATTGACTTCTATGTCAGTAACGCTCCTCTCGGGGCAATTTGGTCAAGTGGTAGACGCGCCTGACGAACCTACAGAGGTCGGGGGTTCGAATCCCGCTGGTGCGCTACCCTCAATTTGAGGGCTGCCAGTCTTCAGTGGACAATTGTTCATGAGGGATGGGTATACGTACCTGTAGGATTCTGGCGCCGCTCCACTGATAGACTGTGGGTTCGGGGGTACTGGGTTCGAACTCCTACCATGCGCGCTACTCCTAGAGATGTAGGCCATCAATGGGCAACCTCGCAGTGAGGCGGAAGTTGTACTGCAGCTTCAAGAGTCATGCATCGCACATTGATCGCCAGAGGGTTCGGGGGTCTGTAGGTTCTGAAGGCTTTCTTTTTTTCTTTTTTTCTTTTTAAACCTTCCCTCGCATCCTTTCAATCAAGATCTTCCAGTGTTATTTTTTCAATCCGCGCCATGTCCTTTCCCCCCTCATCTCTTCCAAGCCATGGTCGTCTACGGCTTACCTTAACTACACGATGCTGTACTTTAGAGACCAAGTATGCGAAACATAACTGAAGCGCCAAAGCTGTTCCAACTATATGAATTCAAAGAACAATCTGCTCGACCATAATAAGTTCGAACACAAGTCATTGTTTTGATATCCTCAAATAGAACTGGTGCGACTCCACGCTGTATTAAATATCACTTAATTGGCTGGTCAATCGCTCGAACTAAAAAACCCCTTGCTAGAGGATTGATTGATGAAGGTTCGACGAGCTGTAAGTCTAGAACTATTCGACGTAGTCAAAGGTGACATCGTCATTACCACCTATCTTTGCCAGGTCTGTACATGATATGGAACTTTGGTGAAGTGTAATCAGTTCGCCTGCTGGCTTAGTCCAACGTATCCAATGCCATATCAAGAAATATGAACGATATTTTGCTCAGATATGCTTGTTAGATTGTTCTTGCCATTCAGATGACTGAAGGAGTGCTGGAGGAGGTGGATTTAAAGTTGTAGATGACCCCATATGATGACTCAGCACCTTCCTTATTAGGAAATATGAGATCGGCACGTAGGGTAGCGTTGCATCAGATCCCCAATTGATCCAAACTGGCGGAAATAGCCGAGTCCCACTGCCTACTAGCAATTCTCAACGATGGGCTGACAGTTAGATCGTGGTTCTCCATAGGTAGCGAGTAGATATACGTCCACACATGGGTGTCTTTCGAACATGAAAGCATTAGTTGAGTATATTGTTCTTGATCGAGTTCGTTTTTCTTCAGCTGTATTCTGATAGATCCACGCAAGTGCCGTACTCGAGGTTTAGAATGCTTGCCTGGGTAATCCTTTGGGTAGTCTCCGGCAAAGGAACCCTTGAATTGAACAACAGGTATGTCTGGTAATTTTTCCTGTGCTCATGGGGTTTATTCAAGTTGGTTCAGCAACATCGCTCGTTTCAGCTGCTCTTCACTTTCTTCAGATTGCAACACATGTGTCTGAGGAGTTTACCTACTGTCTATGACTTGCGTTTGGGCCGCTTAGGATGATAACCAACGTTCATAGTTCAAGTCAGTTCATAATACCCTCTTATATTTGGGTATTTTCTAAACATCACAGGCAGATTTGTCACGGTTATGCATTCGGAAGAGGGATCGCAAGATCCCAATTCATCGATACCTGTTTTGCTCTTAGGTGGAGATTGTCATGAATTGAAAGTCCCTGGTACCCCCGATGCGATTATGTAATCATGGAATTGGGGGCGGTATGGCAACACATTCTCGGTGACATAGGTTAGGCCATATATTCCACTGTGGCTTTTCTGCTAGGTGATGGATATCTGATAGACAAGCCAAGACAGGCATCGCAGGCGGTTCTACTGCTGTGATCTGCAAATACGTGAGGGTGATAGAACCATATGTAGTACAAGACACAATCACGTCAATCAGGAGAAAAGCATATGAGGAAGGAAGTATGTTTGACCCGTATCTGTGCCATAATGAACATCTCGAGCATTACAGCTTTTTCAAGGCCATTATCAATCTTCGGCACGGAAGCTATCGCGGTAGCCCCAGAATCCTCGCCCATGAATTCACTCGGAAGTGGATGCGAGAAGACTTCGCCAGCCGGATACGGGTTAGTCGCAGTGGTTGCAGATTACTGTGGTCAAGATAATTTGAGTTGCAGAAGGGAATCGTTCGTATTTCGTTCCGGAATGTGGAAACGGCGGTTATCTAACCGGCTAGATGCAGTATCAAAAGCAATCCCATGCCGACCATACAGTCATGAATCCCCATGAACACCAAACCCTGTCTTTGAAGGTGTTAGGACTAATGCGGCAAAACGAGGGAGTGCAGCGCTCGACTCACCACCCAGATGATAAAAGAAATTTATCGCACGGGGCTCCAGACGTTCTTCAGGAGACCATCCCGCTGGGCCAGTCGGTTCAGAGCATCGTCACTCTCGCCCATCGCGCGCACGAATCCGCAGAGAGCGTAGACGTGGTTCTCGCCCTGAATTTGTCGGCCGTTCTCGTCAACCTTGGCAATAGAGATCTGGACGGAGGCGTGGTCCTTGGCCTTGATGATGCGGTTGGTGGCGCTGCACTTGCGAGGGACGTAACTAGAACGAGGCAATCTAGATTAGCAAGATTCGACGGAGATGCGCGGCGGCATGGAATTCTCACAGGTCCACGATCTCTCCCTTGTCGTTTTCCATTTTTGCGACTTGTCGACGGTGACGTTCGGAATTGGCTTTGTGGTTGTTGTGGTCGTGGAGATCGCAAGCGGGTGGATGTGCCGTGGACTGAATTGAATAAATTGGCCCGGAGATTTTGACCCCTCGAAAAGAGAAAAATTGTTGTGGTGGGCAATGGGGCTTGTGCTCGGGTGTCAGTCACGTGATAGAAAGTCAGCTGCTTTCGGGTTGGTTTCGTGGCGCTGACATACAGGGGATCCGGTCTTGGCGCTCGGCTGCTGCGTTTTTATTAGTGGATCCTGTTGACAGGCGTGTAACGACGAGATGCCTCCAAAGGTAAACATCATCAACACCATAGTCTGTGTACTTCCAGGTTTTTGTAAGACGCCATCCGCAACATGTACATACTCCCGGGCATCTGAATTTCAATTGATTCGTTTATAATCCTGTCGATCAACAACACCTTGAGCTGCGCTTGGCGCATGCTAATTGGCCTGCGACTTAGACTCGGTATGTCTTCAGCCAACGTCTTCTTGTCGTCTCCGCCAGGCCCTGCGAGGATGGACCCCTACGCTCTATCGTCCTCGCCGAATCTGCCTTCCTTGAATGACATATTTTCAAATACCTCTAGAAAGCCGCCTTTGCAAAGTGGAAGCCACGCCGCGCCAATACCCGACAATGCCCGAGCCATATCTACCAGTGCTACGAGTCTGCTACGGGAAGCCCCCGAAATTGATATAGAAACAGAACAAATCACCAACTCTCCACGCAAGTCGAACCCCAGTAGAGTCACGAAGAAGGAGGCGCAAACACCAGAACCCATAAGTGTACCCATGGAGGAACCTGTTCTAATCGAATCCTCGCCGGGAGATAAGCCGTGGCAGAAATTCAAGACCAAGAAGCCGATTTCGACTTCACTGGGTGAAAAGCAATCTGCTCCGAAAGGCCGCGTTACGAAACCAAATACAAAGGGAAAGGCTAAGGAGAAGAGTGAGACGGTTTCCAGGCACTTCGCTGTAAAAGAAAATACTCCGAAACGAGCCGAGAAGATATCAGGTTATGACACAATAGCACATGAACTAAAAGACCAGCTTATAAGCGGTACTTCCTGTTCAGAACCTGCTTTGAGGCGCCGAGGCGACTGGACCCCACCGCCTGCCAACAACCCTATCGTTCTTGAGCCTGGGTCTGATAATCAGGAATTGCTGTCATCGATTGAAAGAGAGACGAAGTCGAAGGACGTATTTCAAACCCTTGTGGATGACTATGGGCTCAAGGATACCCTGCCGTCTGCCGCATCAAACCAGTTACAACGAGTAGACATCCTAACGAAGCGGAAATTAATTGAGCTCATCTCCACTAGCAAAGAGGTTGCCCAGTTTCCAAGAGAGGCATCCCCGCCTAAGCCTGTTAATGCGAAAAAGAAAACTAGGACGATTACAGAGCTAGCAACGGCGCCTTATATGTTGCCAACTGCGCCAGAACTAGATTTAGCAGGGCCAGCCACTAAGGAATCTTTACTGAATTATTTCGACTCGGATGGCGCCGTCAAGGCTCTCGTCGAACACCAGACCGCCGTCATGTCCCAGAAGAAAGAAAAGGCCAAAGAAACCAAAGTGCCCGCAAAACCGAAGCGCAAGAAGAAATCTGGGACAGTGAATAATCCGATTCTTTTGTCTCCGAATTCAGCCCTAAAACAATCTTCTAATCAAGACTTTGTTTTCGGAACGTCCAGTCAATTGGTTAGAGAAGAATCCCCAACCATTCTCAGGGATCTTCAATTAGCAATACAGGCTTCAAATCAAGTCGACTCCGACCCCTTCGCTGATTCCGACAGTCAAGGACTTTGGCGTGCCGGAGCTAGAGATACTGACGGCGAGCTCATGAGGGCGGACGAAGTTGAGATCGTTGACGATCTACCTTCACTCAGGGGACTGCTACAAGGTCCGCGCGAGGAATTTGTCGATATTGACGATATACTGAAGTCATCAGGGGCTGATGAGTCAGCCCCACAAGCCCCACAACTTAATTCTCACTTCTTACAATCCCAGGTTGCTTCCAGTGTGCAGCTTCCTCCAACCGATGGCCAAGAGCATACGGAGTCCCAATCTCCGGCCGGAGCCAGCAACCCACGCCCAGACTTCGAATCGCTCAGTGATGCACAACTATCTCGGCAGATTGCGTCATACGGATTCAAGCCAGTCAAGAAACGTCAAGCCATGATTGCGCTTCTTGACCAGTGCTGGAGTAGCAAGGGCTCCGGAACTTCAATTTCCCAATCGAAGTCCATATCTACATCATCTAGTATGGGCGCACCTAAGAGAAAACAACAGGTGGCCACTGCAGAGCCGGAAAATCCTCCAAAGCGACGCGGTCGTCCAAGGAAGAATTCAACGACGGAAGCGTCTTCAACGAAGACGTCGA